GCCTGGCTGGACTGGACACGAACAGTCTCAACTTCAACGTCAAGCCTTCTTAGCGTTGCGGATGCCACGACCAGTTCTAGACCTGGATATTCCGCCTGGCCGTCAGAGAGTGGTAGTGCCTGGCTGGATTGGACACGGACAGTCTCAACTTCATCAACGTCGAGTGTTCTTGGTGTCGCGGATGCCATAACCTCTTCCTCAAGTACGACAAGTTCGAGACCTAATTACTCTTGGCCCTCAGAGAGTGGTAGCGCCTGGCTAGACTGGACACGGACGATTTCAACTTCATCAACCTCAAGTGTTCTTAGTGTCGCGGATACCACAACCTCTTTAAGTACGACAAGTTCCAGACCTAATTATTCCGCCTGGCCTTCAGAGAGTGGCAGTGCTTGGTTAGACTGGACACGAACAGTTTCGATTTCAACTTCAACCTCGAGCATTCTTAGCGTTGCGGATGCGACTACAAATTCGCCACTTGGTACGACAAGCTCACGACCTAGTTATTCTGCCTGGCCGTCAGAGAATGGAAGCGCGTGGCAAGACTGGACGCGAACGATTTCGACATCAGCTTCGACATCCTCAAGCGTTCTTAGTGTTGCGGACGCGACTACAAATTCGCCTCTCAGTACGACAAGCTCAAGGCCCAGCTATTCCGCGTGGCCTTCAGAGAATGGAAGCGCGTGGTTAGACTGGACGCGCACGATCTCAACGTCGAGTTCTACTTCCAGCATTCTCAGTGTCGCCGATGCCACAACCTCTTTCTTGAGTACGACAAGCTCAAGGCCTAGTTATTCCGCTTGGCCTTCCGAGAATGGGAGCGTGTGGTTGGACTGGACACGAACGATTTCATCCACCTCCAGTGCAGTCTCAGTGGACGCCGAAACCACAAGCTCTTTGGTCGCCGCCACTTCGACTCAGAGTTCTAGACCATATGGCTCAACTTGGCCGTCGCACAGCGGCAATGGCTCTTGGGAAGACTGGGCAGCAACAACAACGTCCGTAAACCCGACGAGCTCTTCGGAATTGCCGGTTGATGCTATGACCACAACAAGTTCAGTTTCGTCGACGACCTCCATCGCTACATATCCGGGCTACCCCGGCTTGAATGATTCAAATTCTATCTGGCTTGATTGGAATCTAACGTCAAGGACTTCGTCGTTGCCAATCGAGGCTGTATCTACTGCCACAACCTCGAGCTCTTCCCTATCCCCAACCACGACCAGCTCGACTTTTGGTTACCCTGGCTTTAACGACTCGAACTCCATCTGGCTAGACTGGAATCTGACGTCCTTCTCGAAGACACAGACTACCTCTGCCTTGCCGGTCGATGCCGCAACTACAAGCCTGAGCTCCTCTTTAAGCACAACCACGAGCTCCAGTTTCGCATATCCCACGACAGGTAATTGGACAGGTCACAACGAGAGCGCGTGGCTAGACTGGAATTTGACTGTCACCCGAACAAGTACGCTGTATGTTGACGGTCAAACAACATCATCCTCGATCGCAACCACTACGAGTTCAGTCAGAGCTTATCCGACCGGGAGTTGGACCGAGTCACAGTGGCTAGATTGGACTAGAACTACGAGCTCTGGGATTGTATCTACGACCTCGAGCTCGCAAGCAAGCTATCCAACATTCCCGGCCTACAATGGAACGGGCAATTGGTCCGACTGGCTGTCTAACTTGACTTATAGCTCGTCCTCAAGATTTGTTGCACCGCAGACAACCACTTCCTCCGTTCTTTCCGTCGATGCTACTTCTCTGCAACCTACCTCGTCCACCACTTCCGTTGCAGGATATCCAACGATTCCAGCCTATAACGGCTCATATCCTTCGTCGAACTGGACCGACTGGAATGGCACAATCCCGTGGAACGTGACTGACGGCAGAGGTTCGACCACAACGTCGATATTGTATGTGTCACCAACGGCTACAAGCTACACGTCAGGATCGACATCAACCACGGCCTCTCCTGTGGCGCCTACGACGACTTCGACCTGGGCTTACAATGGCACAGGCAGTGGTAACTGGACAGACTGGGCCAGTAATGGGACGGCTCCGTTGAACTACACGATCCCCCATACAAATTCGACCAATTCGACGGCAGGAGGTGGTAACTCGACGTATCCCGCCGGCAGTTCCTCTGGATGCAGTGCCACGGCCCCTTCGCAACTTCTGGAGAACCCATCGTTCGAATGCTCGGGCACAGGGTGGAACCTTGACGAAGTGGATATTGTCTGGGGAAGTGCCTCGGAGTCGTCGACATCTGCTAGGCGCATCCGCGATATCTTGTCCCCTGACTCGGCATATGACGGCAAAGGATTTGCTCGCTTTGAGCCCACTTCCGAAGATGTGACTGCCACTTTGTCGCAGACTCTTGCCGCTCCCGCCACGAGTGGATCGTATTGGTATTCTTTCGCGTATAGGGTTCCCTCTTCTGGCGTTACACCGGATGAATGCAAGTTGACAGTTTCGAACGATGAAGGAACACTGGCAACATTGGGATCTCTCTCGGCCGCCAGCACCTGGACAATGACCGGCAAAGAATTCCAAGTCACATCATCGGCGAGCACATTCTCTCTGGTGTTTAGCTGCTCTGGCGTTCAGACTGCCTCACCAATTCTTGATATCGACAACATCAGAATGGGTATGGGCGGCGGCAATTGGACTGCTGTGAATGGAACCTCGGGCGGACACAGCAATAGCACTGGTCTTCCAACTTGGAGTGCTCCCTCCAACATCACGTATAGCCCGCCATCAACCAACCTGACTCGGCCGGACGAAGCCGGCAGCCCAATTGACTATAGCGGAGGAGCTGCTGGAGCACCAACACAAACCACCTCCAGCACTGAGCCTGTGACCACTTCGACCGTGCCCGCTCCAGCAGCACCGACACTTGCTGATTTCGAGATACCCGTACCTCCGCCGTCTTCCTCATCAGCAGTACCAACGACGTCATCTCCGACAGCTCCAGCTGCAGCTACAGGGGCATCAGGACCGCCGGATGTTAGTGATCCTACGACATCGGCGGATCCTGTAGTCGCATCGACCACGGCTCCGGCTGCAGTTGAAGAACCAAGCACAACAACAGCGACGTATCCTTCCAGCACGGTGTTTTCTTCAAGGAACCGGGTCAAGAGGCACCGATATCATCGGAACTAGTAGGAGATGATGTATGTTGATGGGGGTGTAGTTTGGGATTTTTCAGGAAAAGGGGGAAGCGACCTATGGGCACAAGCAACAGATAATACCCCCAGGAGTGTTTTCTCTAGGTAGTTGACTTTTTATTACATGACTTGTGTTTCTTGACAACCAAGATTCGGACTCCTAAGCAAAGCATTTCTTCATGATCTTTCGGAGGGGGCGGAGATCAATTGGCACCGCTGCAAGTCGCCCATGGCCACTTTTGAGTCTTTTGATTGCATGTTTCTGCGAACTGGGAAAGCGAAGGAAAAATGGAAGAAGGAAGATTCAAGGCGCACTGCGGACGACGACTTTTCTCTCTCCCCTCTCGTCTTTGTTTCCTTCACTCACTCATTCTCACAATCTCGCTTTCTTTTCTTTCTTTTCTTCACGCCACAAGGGATTGGGATCTTCCGGGGACATTTCATGGGGTTTGGACGTTTGCCACATTTCTACATTGATTGGATATGAGAAATTTGGTGTGGGCGCCAGTGATGATTATGCGACTCGACGGGTGCTGGACGGAGTCACGAGGATGTATGTACCGAGTACAAACAATGGAGTGTAGTGGCGCTTTTCCTTTCTCCTTTCCGTGTTCCGCGATCTTCCCACTCTTCCTCCACCTGTAAGGCTGGCGCAGATCTTTCTCGCTTGTGCTGGTGTATCCGGCGGTGCCGCGCTAGCTTCGTTCGCTCCTACGATGATTGAAGACTAGGGACTGAGTACCGAGCACTTGTACCAAAAATGTATGTATATACATATATTCGTCAGGAAGGGCTTTCCCCGTCGTCCTTCTCGCTCTCGCTCTCCGTATAGTGAAGTGCCTTACCATCGTTCCGGTCAATAGGTCTCAGGAACACTAGAGAGGGGGCTCGCATGAACCCTACCTTTTTCTCGTCAAGGGGCAGTTTGATTGCGTGACTCCCAAGGTATAGGCATTATGGATCATCAATTGCCCTCTCAAGCCTGGGAAATTCCATATTCCATCTCCTTCACGCACGAGTATCGAGCATGGGGATTTTCATCTGCCCTATAAGAAACAATAACAACGCGTCTCCAACTTAAAACACAATCATCTCGGAGGTTTTCCCGCGCACCAGCTTCATCTGTTTTCCTCCAAGGTATTACTTGATCCCTATATACTCAGTCTCGTCGTATATGACGGAGAAGTGAGGTGGCGATCCGTAGTCGGGTGACCCACTATGCAGTCGGTAGCAAGACACTAACCTCCGGGGCTCCACCTGACTTGTACCAAACTAACCCTAAATAGTCAGGGGTGGCCATTAACGATACTGAACATGCCAATAAGGAAATCCATGACAACCTCAATGGAGACGGCCACGGAGGGAGAGAGATTCGCCAAAGGAAGCGGACAAAGCTTGTGCGGACCCTACAAGGACGACACGAGACGAAGACGAGGAAGTAATCGAACATGCATATTCACTTACTTACCCAGAGACCTGCTTGGATATTTCCCTATGCCATCACCCTCTCTTGATACGCCCCTTGGAGAAATACTACGTTCTCGAGTTTCATTCAACCCTTCCTTTTTCCATTATTCATCGGACAATTATTCGGACAGGGCGTCCCTGGACCGGTGATTTGTGGCGTTTGTGGCGCTTGGCTTTTGCGGGATCCGCTTCCTCCCCTACTTTTTTCCTTTTCTCCTTTCATTCTACCGTACATTCAATACTTTCACTTCACACAGTTATGTCCGCAAGAAACGTCTCCGCCATCCATGAGTACAAACATCCTCGCCACTGCACATCACTTCTCGTAGGATCGTGTACCGAGCACGGAGTTGTTTACCGTCATGGCTGTCTCACGCGTTCTACTCCACGACGATGCTTGCGATATTGACAGTGGTGATTACGATGATGAGATTTTGGGCATGGAGGAATCTCCTCGGGAGCGATCTTCTCAATCACCCGCCTACTCACTCTCCGAATGATTGACCGGGCTTCGGTAACGGCCAGTGTACCAGGCAGTAGCATCGGCATTGGCTTCGGTCTTAGGGCTGGTATATTCTACACTGCCATCATCACCGGCAAGCAGTAGCAGTTGACACCAACGAAGCAGAATCCCCGTGGGACTGACAATCTGCAATCTGCAATCCCCTCGTCCTCGTCCCTTGTGGAGGAAGAAGGACGAGAGAACGGACTTTCATTTCCGCCACCACAATACAATGACAGACTCTGGCCAGATTCCCAGAAACAAGACACATGATTTCCGTCATGTTTTTCCTCCACCACCCCGTCCAACCCCGGCTCCCTTTCCATTCTATTGCATCTTCCATATCAGACACACAGATTACAATCACGGTTCCCAACAAGTGGACATGCGGTGGCTCGATTTATTGCCAGTTTTAATCTTAACGACTTCTGTATAGAGCGTGTTTGTGTCTATCTGTGTTTGTATATCGCGTCCATAGGTAGGTCCATACACACAGACATACACACATGCCTCTTCATCAATGGATGGATGGATGTGTATAAAAGGTCTGTGTCCTCTCGCATCGTTCAGTCAGTTCTATCCAGCAATCGACAGTTTCAGTTTCTTCACACTCCTTTGACTCGGCAACGAGGCCATTCATTCGTTCATTCGTTCGTTCGTTCATACTGACCACAGTCATTCATTTCCCCTTCTAAATCCTACCCCTCAGTCACTCCTTAAGTTACTCACAGACACAAGATACAAAAACACAAAACATAATGAAGTTCTCCAGCACCGTCGCCGCCTTCTCGGCTGTCGCGGGCGTCACCCTTGCCATCCCCCAGGGACCTTGGTACGGACGCCCGTTCCCACCTTACGACTACTCAGACAAGCCTCAGAGCATCGACGCTGCCTCCCATGGTGGAGACAGCCACGGCGCATCCACCAGTGGCACTAGCACTCGCGCCATCGTCGCGGACAGGGCTACGACCACGACCACGACTACAACCACGGCCTCGGCCACAGCGAACTGGAATGACTGGAGTGTAGATGGTGCACCCACACATCAAACTCAGAGCATCGACGCGGCCTCCCACGGTGGCCGCAACGAGAGCCACGGCGCATCTCACTCCACCAGCGCAGCCGCTGCGGTGGTGGCTGCGAACACCAGGACTACGGCCACGACTCTGGCGAGCAGCATCTACCGGGCTGCAGAAGGCACACATACATACAGGCCTCAAAGCATCGATCCAGCATCCAGCCGTGGCAACAGCGACAGCCACGCCCACCGCGCATCCACGACCACGACCACAGCAATCTGGAACACCTGGGCCGTCGAAGACGCACACACATACAAGGCTGAGAGCACTCACGCACACGTCAATGACCCTAGCAGTGCCACTCCGGTGAGGGCTGCGACGACCACGATCACCACTACGACGACCAACAACAACAACCGGCATGTGGAAGGCACACATACGGCCTCCACGACCACCGCCAACCGCAACGACTGGGACATCTGGGGTTTAGTTGAGAGCATCAACTCGGACATCGCTGCAGCCTCGCACAGCGGCAACGATCCCCACGGTGCATCCACTACAAGCACTCGCTCTTTCGCAGTGGCGGCTACAACCGCAACCACGACCGCAGCAAATCATAACATTCACGTTGTGGACGGCTCGCACACAACCTCCGCGACCACGACCGCAGCGAACTGGAACGACTGGGTTGCGGACAGCGTCGACGCGCACAAGGCTCAGGGCACCGACCCAGCTTCCCACGGCGAATCCATCACTGGCACTCGCTCTTTCGCCGGGGTGGAGGCTGCGGAAACCACGAGTACGACCACAGCGCACCACAATAGTCGGGCTGTGGATGGGGCACACACGACCTCTACCACCACGACCATAGCCGAGTGGAGCAACTGGGTTGTCGACGGCGCAGACCCGTACAAGTCTCAGAGCGTCGATGCAACCTCCCACAGCGCTAAGGACAGCCACGGCACAACTACAACCAGCACTCGCTCTCACGCCACAGCAGAGGCTGCAAAAACCACGACCGCGGATCCTGCCAACTGGAACAATTGGGTTGTCGACGGCGAACACACGTCCACCACCACCACAGTGACCCACAAGTCTGTGGACGCATACGAAACGTCTACGACCACAACCAGGACCACGGACCCTGCGGATTGGAATAACTGGGTTGTTGACGGCGAGCACGCAAGCACCACCTCGGCGAACCATAAGAGTGTTGACAGCGCACATACGACCTCCTCGACCAAGGCCACAACCACGACCACCACCACGGACCCTGCGAAGTGGAACGACTGGGTTCTAGACGACGCACACACCACGAGCACAGCGAGCACGGCGAGCCAAAAGTCTGTGGAGCCACACGAGACCTCGACAACTACAACCGCGGCTGCTGATCCAGCGATCTGGAATAACTGGATTTTGGACGGCGAACACACGACCACGACCACGACGAACCACAAGAGCATCGACGCGCACACGACTTCTACGACGACGACGGCCACAACCGCCATCACGGATCCTGCCAACTGGAACAACTGGATTGTGAACGACGCACACACGAGCACCACGTCAGCCAACGACAAGAGTGTGGACGCGCACGAGACCTCCAAGACCACGACCTCGACGACCACGATCGCCGACCCAGCGAACTGGAATGACTGGATCGTGGACGGCGCACACGCGACCTCTACAAGCATTACCACGAGCACAGTGAACCACAAGGACCGGAGTGTCCACGACGGACACACGACCTCGACGACTTCGGACCCTGCAAACTGGAATAACTGGGTTGCGGACGAAGCACACACGTACAGCCACACGACGACCACGACCACCACCGCCGCCGTCGCTGCCACCACCACAACAACCTCCACCTCCACCAGCTCCCACAGCAGCACGACATGCCTCAGCCACGCCGCGGCCTCCAGCGTGGTCGACAGCTTCGCCTCCCTCCTGAACGCCTACGACGACGCGACGGCCGAGAAACTCCTCTCCCCCTCCTTCACCGACACGTCGGACTCGATCAACTTCTTGGCCGGCAAGCCGTTGGGCGGCGCGGCATTCGCGAGCAAACGCGCCTTTCAGCAGGGCCAGGGCCAGGGCCAGGGCGCGCAACCGCCCGTCACGTTCGACGTGCTGTCCATCGACGCCGTGACCTGCGACGTCATCGCGTTCCGGTGGGAGGCCGTCCTCGCCAACACTGGTGCGGGTGCGGGTGCCCGCGCCGGTGTTCCCGTAAAAGGCATCAATATCCTCCACACGGTCAACCCCACCGGCGCGGCCGACGGGTGGCAGATCGAGCGCGTCTTTTCAGAGTTCAACTCGGCCGTCTGGACCGTCGGGGCTGGCGGGTCCTGTGCGCCGCCTCCGGCGCAGCAGCATGGTCAAGCTCAAGCGAAAGGACAGGCGTAAGCTCCTTCGCTTTCGCTAGGACAGGACAGGCCACAAGACGAGACAAGACAAGACACCTGACACACACACACACAGCTCAGAGAGTACTTGACCTGACCTGACTTGACTTAATCTGATTTGAGGCACAAGTCCCGACAACGATACATATGTGTGGTCACGACGAGGCCAGGTCCGGCCAGGTCAGGTTAGGACATCCCGAGACCTCCCTCCCGACCTCCCTTCGACAAGGAAAAAAAAAAAAAAAAAAGAAAGAAAGACCCAAACAAGTATGATACATGCACGACACCGGTAATAATCACGGGCTTGGCTTTGCTTGATCACCCTTTTTTTGATATTTACATGGCCACGAAAAAGAAAAGAAAAGTTATCGATCGGAAGGGAAGAAAAAGTTATTGGAATAATGGACAAACGGGCAAACGGCAAAAAAAGGCAAATGCAAATTGACAAAGTTGATAATGTGACAGACGGAAAATCTCCTATTTTTGTGCGAGGGGTTGGGCATGCTTTTCTGTCTTTCTGTGTGATATATATTTCACATAGGTATACGTTTCTCGTGTTGGTTAATGTCAACGTATTGCCTTCCATTCGTGCTATTAGCTCTCCAGATTCTGTCATTCTCCATCAGCCCAAAGTCCACATCGATACTTTGTGGGACGTGCAAGCTTGGGAACATTGACGTGCGTGTATACATTTATTATCTATCTTCTCTGGCTTCTCTAGCCTCTAGTAATTAACTGCGGCCATCGCTCATAAACGAGTGTACTCAACTCATCTCGCGCAGCACTCCGTCTACACATCAGTCTCAACAATCCTGACTCCAATGTAGCTGTGCCATTCGGGGCAACGTGTCAAAGCTCGAAAAGTTTCCATCTGCACTGACCCAGTCACTGGTGTTGCCGCTCAAGTACTTCCCCGCCGCCGCCGAAAAGAAACTCGTGACGTAGACATCGACCAGCGTCGAATCCGAGGTGTTGGCTCCAACACTGACATTGGCTTGCACATAATGTGGAGAAGAAGAGAAGCCCTGGTTGATGTGCACGATATTGTCCCCGTCGTTGCCAAAGTCGTCCTTGGTGACATAGCCTGGTGTCTTAATCAAGGTGGTGGCATTGACAGGCAGCGGGGCGCGTTTGAAGACTTTGTCGGTCTGCATATTCGAGAGCAAGTTCTTTGCCGAGGACCAAGGGGCAGTCATGCGCAGCCAAAAGTTTTGATACGGATTCGTCTGATAGGCATTGTCGATGGTAAATGGTCCCTTCAGCAAGTCGTAGCGGAAACCACCAGTGTTGGTGAGGATGATACGCGGCTGATCGGTACGGTTAGGAGCCACCACGACCGCAGGAAAGACAACATTCGTGAGGTAGTTGAATAGACTTTGATTCGAGCTGATGGGGAACCGGTCGAGATAGTAGTTATCCGGGCAGCAGCCGAGTTTGTTGGTCAACACTGGCAGACTGTTCACCGCCGCGGTGATGTTCTTGCTGATCGTCACACCCAGGCTGGAATTGAATGTCTGCTCGTTGGTGTTGGTGTGGAATTCAAAACTGTAACGGTTAAAGTCAAGATATTGTCTCGAGTAGGACAAGGTGGAGTTGGGATTGGCCTTGACCCCAGGCACGTCCGAGGGTTTCTGGGTGATTTTGGTGGCATTTCCCATGGGCGACTTAGCTTTGGTGACAGCGCTAGGCAGACCGTTGACCGAAACCCAACCCACTGTCTCGCAATATCTCCCCGAAGCAACACCCACGGCCGACGCATCAAAGACCACGGCGTCACGCACATGTCGATGACCCCCAAAGATCTGGATGGGAATGGTAGGATGATGTTGGCGAATGGCCGCGTAGATCAGCCCCCATTCTGGAGAGTTCCGAAGAGTGATATGTCCCGCGACCAGAAACATGTCGATGTCGGTCCTCTTGACCTGTTCCTGGAACCAAGATTGTTTGACAGCATCACCAACCGGGGTCACAATGGTTGCATTACTATTACCGGTGAAATTGAAAAGAAAGGCAAAGGACATGATGCGGACGCCCATCTTCGTCTTCCAATACGCATAGCGATCGGAGAAGGGCGTGGGGCTGCCAGTGAGATTGAACTCGACATTCGAGGTGATGTAGCGGCCGGCCCAGTTTGGAGCAAAGTTGTGATATGTGTCATTGGCGATTTCTGTCGTGTAGAGTTCATGGTTGCCAATTGACAGCAAATCGTACGGTAGTTTTTTGAATATGGGCAGGGTGAGCTTCCCGTTGGGCTTCGTCGCATCTCCGAACCCAGTACCGTCATGTAAGTCCCCCGAGTCGATGAGGAGTAGGTCGACGCCCAGCACATCCGCCTTGGCCTTCATCTTCTGCACAAAGTCGGCAAAATCGCCATAGTCGGCACTGTAATTGTCATCCAGCAGGTGGCCCGCGAGCCAGCCGTGGGTATCCGTGGTGTGAAGGAAATTGACCTGACCCCAGTGCAAGTCCTTGATCTGTTGCGGCGGGGTAGGAAGAGCGGCTGGCTGGATCCGTTTGGCCAGGTCATGTCTTTTCATCAAGTCGTGGTCGACATAGCCTCCCAGGACCGGAGATGTCCAATCATGGTCGTCGCATGAACAAGAAGGCTCCAAGAACGCGGCGAGGGCAATTAGCGAAGTGAGCAGCATGGCGGACACCTCGAGAGAGCCCAGATGACTTCCAAAGAACAAGCGACAATAGCTTCACGACAATATGAACAATCTCACCTTGTGGGCGAGGCAGGAAGAATGGGGCGGCCGGGACTTTTATCTTGCTGTGGTATAAGATATGCAGGAGCTGCAGAGTGGTGCTCGCTTCATCCTCCTAAGGTCCAAGGTGGTAGGTAGTGGAGGTGCATAAGGCCATCGGAGCTGCTACTGCAGGTAGCCGCAGCATAGCCCTGCCGGATGCGGGAGAGGAAAGACGAAGGAACCCAGAGTGCCAGGTCAGATGGATGGTGTGAGGATGGAAAGGCTCATAGGTTGCCAGGCTGAAAGAGGGCATGATCGAGGCCTGGATCATTAGTGGCTGAACTGGACCACAACTTGAAGCTTACCAGCAGCCCCAGAGCAACTTGCTCCGGAGCTTGAGCTCGGGCAAAGCTTGTAAGGTAGCAAGGCGTTGTTCTAGCTCCTTGGATGGCGGCTGGGCACACGACACAAGATATGAGGGTCGTTGGGCTGACAAGAGCACGAGGGGAGATCAATTGGAGATGATCGGAAATGGAGACATGATGATGATCATCTTACAAGGGGGGAGCTTTTCAGTGGATTGCAGTCGCCAAGCAAATCCTAGTACGAAGAAAGGAAGTACGAGTATGTAGACAAATCACCATCCGCAGCCACTCGGTAGTAGCAGGGCTCATCACCACCCCAGCATGCGCCCATACATCTTACTTTCCTTGCCAACTTCCACATTGTCTTTCTTGAACTTGATATATGGCTCATAGCTCTATACCCGAATTCTCTAGGTAGCGAATATCCATTCCTCCAACAAAAGTGTCGTACATCATGCAGAGTCTTATATCAACATGGCCACGTCTCATTTCATATTCATCAACACATGATCGGATTCACCGCAAATGCCCCCTGTGACAGCTTCGTTAGCACCACTATTATCGAAACCAGCAGAAAACACTCACCTGGTTTTGCATCGCCAGTTCAGCGAATCTCCTCTGTACATCCTCGTCATCTTCCAGAAGCTTGTCAATCACCTTGACATCGTCGATGACCCAGAAATCCCGGAATGCTACCACAATGTTTTCGGTATGCTTGCGCACCACATCATCATCCACCGCGGCAAAGCAGAGTCGGTAGTATTGCCAACCTTTCTCCTCTCTGATTTCGGGCGTAGGGCAAAACATGCTTCCAGGGGCCAGCAGAACAAGGTACGGCTCGGTCGTAAGCCACACCCAAAGCGCTTGGGAAAGTCGTTGATGGTCGACCTCGTTGAAGAGAGGATGTGTTTCAAATCGTGCATGCAACCAAAGGAACATGCCAGCCATAGGGTAATCAAAATCGTATAGCTGCGTCTTGTGGACCACTTCGTATTCAAGGTCATCAGGCGCAAAGGCGTTTGATTTCGGCTTTGACTCTTGAATCAGATATTTCCCCTCTTCCAGAGTCGACGCCATAATCTGCATTCGTCGTTCGTAATTGCCCCGTAAGCCTTCGAGCCATCGAACCCAGCCGTCCGCCTTCCATCCCCTACCATCCTTGCTACCTCCTTTACCGGGATCGCCGTCGTGGGAGGGTCCGATGATGAGTTCCGCAATCATACTCTGAACGAATCCGCTGGGTTGCTGGGTGCTTGTCTCGGTGATACGCAGGATTCTCTCAATCACTTCAGGCTGGGCTGTGATCCAGCCTAACCGACAGCCCGGAGCAACTGTCTTGCTGAAAGTATCTAGTCGGACGACTCTTCCATCCACATCAACCGAGAGGTATGAAGGGACAAGACTATCCAAGAACGGAAAGCCACTGGATTTGCCACCGGAGGCGGTGTTGTAGTTGTATGAGCTGTCCGAGGGGAAGTTCTCCGAGACAAGTTGACCTCTGTTTCTCATGGACAGCTCATTTGCCGAAGGATATTGCAGGTACCAGTACGGATCGTCTTCGATGATGATGATGTCGTATTTTGAACACAGGCCATAGATTTCTTTCCGCCTTTTTAGTGACAGTAATCCAGAGGTTGGGTTTTGGCCCATTCTGTTCCTGTTAGTGTAGTTTATAGTGTGGTCAAGATGGCACTCACGTCACTGTATACATCAAATGTGGTCTCTTGCCCTTGTTTTTGTCCCAGTTCACCAGGACTTCCTGCAGTCCTCCCTTGCCATACGCAACCATTCCTTCGTCGTCCATGGCCACTGGGACCACATTGAGCCCTCGAGGCCGAGCGGCTTGAATGGCATTCATGTACGCAAACTCTTCGCATAGTATGCCCTCACGTTCTCGAATCCAATCTCTTTCCTCGTCCCAGATGTTGCTGAAGCATTCAAGCGCCTTCGAAAATCCATCAGTAGAGCCACAGGTCAAAATCACGTCTGGTCCGTCCTTGTAAGGCACATTGGGATGGAGATTTGTGCGTGCAAAGGCTCGTATGAAACTGTAGAGGGGCGGGTATCCCTGAGCGGTGCCATATTGCAGAGCGGTGGTCAGGTCGATCTTGCGCAGGAGGTTTGGTTCGGCGGAATCGTGGGGAACAAGAACGCGCGAGGCTGTTGGAGCTTCTGAGAGACATATCTTTGCAGTCTCAGACGCGGGGGGATCGACAGGCCTGTTGGGCGTGGGCTTGAACCGATCGGGGAGCGCCGTGGATGCTTCCAGCGTGTCATACGGAAAGTATCCTGGGTTGGGAAGTCCTGGTAACGGTCAGCTAGCCACAGACTCAAGGTCAAAGCGACAACTTGCCTCCAGCAAGGTTTCCGATCCCGGGAATAGCAAAATATTTATAGAAAGCCTTCATCTGGCTGGCAGCACGACGCTTGGTGACCCGCGAATAGAGATGGGACATGTCCTTCGGCGCAGGTTTGTCAATGCTGGTCGCCATGGCTGCACAGTGTTGGGGCTGTCGGGCTGAAGCGATAGTTCTGTCCAAGGTAAGTCAGTCACCCAAAGAAGAACCCAAATGTCCAAAATCAAATACAACTCAGAAACTCCAGCCAGCGGGAGAATTGTAATCAAGAAGTTCCAGTTGCATTGATCGATGACTATTTGACACTGGCATGGCGTGCGGCCAGAGCCCGACTGCCGACCCCGATAGCGATAAGGAAAGTCCATTGACCACCGGAAGACGCGTTCCGCCAGTGCCTGCTGGAGTGAGGCTAGCGCAATTAGGCGCCCCGTCCCTGGTACTGGCTGGTGCTGGTATATTTATTACTCAGCATCCCCGTCTCTTCGGCATCTTGACCTTCCGCGCCTTTGGGGACGAGTCTCGGTCGAGAGATGTTGGGAGTCCTGGTGCTGTTACCATGCGGACATCGTCATGCTCTGATGATTTGTGGGCAGCTGTATTGATTTTCTAGGCCGCTAGTGAGTATGTGCATGTCGAGTCCATCAACTCCCAGTTCTCCATCATTAGCAATAACCCTGTGCCATTCATTATGTTCTGGATGTCACCGTCCATCACGCCCGTCGTTGCTTTCCAAGATGTGCAATGCCGTGGGAGATGCAGTCTCAAATTGGTGGTTCTCTCTTCGTAACCCGCATCCACATGTCGCTTACAATAAAGACTCCTGCACTAAAGGATTTCCACGGGTGCTGGGGGTCGACAATGGTGAACTCGAAATTCCGAAGAAGCTGCAGCAGGGGCAGGTCAGAAACTGTTTTGGAACGCAATCGTCCAAAGAGCAAGTCTGGCACCAAACTTACCTGCGCGAAGACCTTGTTGAGTTCAATGAACGCAATGCTCTTCCCGAGGCACGACGACCTCCCGTACCCAAATACCATGTCGACATTAGCCTCCTTGCGCTTGATCTCCTCCGGTGTCCCCTCCAGGAATCGCTCGGGTCGAAACACTCTAGCATCGGGGCCCCACAATCCCTCATCTAGGAACAGGCCAAATGCACAATATCCGATCTTCGTTCCTCCTGGGACATAGTACCCGTTGAGGGTGTCTCCCCCAGGCGGCACAGACTTGGACTGGAGCCCCGTAACGGGGGGATGAATGCGCAAGCCTTCTTTGATCACAGCTTGGAGATACGGCAATTTGCGGGCCTCCGAGTCCTGAATGGGATCGGAGATGTTGGCGGACGAAAGCTCGGTCAAAACTTTTGCCAAAACCGGCGGGTTGGTGAGGATATGAAGCATCGTCGCACGTATCGCCGATGCTGTGGTGTCGCTACCGGCGAGGATTTGGACCAAGGTCTCCGTTTCGGCGTCTTCTTGTGAGAGGCCATGTCGAAGGAATGAACCCAGCATGTCCATTCGTGGTTTTGCTCCAGGTCGGAATCTCTCAGCTACCACCTCCTTTGCCACTCCCATGATTTTACCCAGGCCATATGCATCGGTATCCTTTGGCATAAGAAACCTCATCAATGGTGACTGAAAGACCTTGGACAACCCTGGAAACGCTGCACACAAAATCATGGCCGGAATGGAGCTTTCTGTTGTCTGGATATACTGGAATACATCTTCATCCTTCTCAAGGTATCCGAATGCTCCTCCAAAGGCAATGGTGGAGAGGATGTCGAGAGTCAAGTATTGTGCCTTCCGTGCAAAATCCATTGGTTTGAATTCTTCGGGGGTGGAGAGATAGTTGCGTTCGATGAGGTCGACAAGCTTTGCAATACACTCGTCGATTGACTGCTCGAGGGTGGGATTCTCTTTGCCAGCATACTATTGACAGTGTCAGCATCCCACGACCAAATTTGGAAAACAGCTTCTATTCAAATACCCCAGGCGCCATCTTGGCGCGAAGCATCGCATGTCTCTCCTCGTTTCGCTCGGAGAGAATGTTATCACGATCGACTCGAAGGGCATCATACCAGTCAGATCGACGGTACGGAGATCTAGCCGCACCCATTGTCTTGAGTATTTCGGGGTCACATGTGATGAGGTCGTTCGGTCCGATGCGAACGAGGGAACCTACGAGTTACGTGTCAGCCAGAAGTGAATTTTGGCACCCCCCCCCCTTTCGACGAGGTTGTACCATATCTGAAGCATTGTTCCGCAGACTCGATGTACATGGACCCATCCCAAGTGTGTTTGAGCAGCCATCCTTTTGAAAACCCAGCGGAGAAGGGACCAGGGATGTGTCGCAGGCGGTACCAGTCGTAAAAGGTCTTTGCGAACAAGTAGATCAAGTAGACCCCGAGCCCAATACCAAGGTAGGCGAGGGCGAGCATGTTTGCTTCCTGGGGAGTACAAGAGATAGATGTGATGTCCAACTTGTGTTCACCGCGGGGAGAGTTTCAGATCGGATCTCGCATCGTACGTGTTTGCCCTTCTTTGCGGGAGCTCTCCGTGATGAGCAACGGTGCCGATTCCCTACTGTGGATCACACTGTGAGAAGCAAAAGACGAGATAAGGAAGGACTGACAGCCACGTCTGGGGGAAGATGTCGTACAGCAGATGTCAAACGGCGGCACCCAAACGGGTCTGTTGCAGTAGCGTTGGTCTGTTGGTTGGTGACCATGCAGTGAGTAACGAGTGAGGATGAAGTGGCATTGGTTCCAGGTTCCTGCGGGTGCGGCGAATCTTGACACCAGGTTCCCACAACTTCTTCACGGCAAAAGAGGGAAGCTACACGGGTACCAACCGGGGGGAGAAGTTGCGTTTCACACATTCACTGCATTCTCGATTTGTCTGGGTCTGGACCCGCCCTTTGAGGTGTTTCCTGGATTCTATTATTCGTCACCGAACAGCGAGACTGCATATAGCCCAGAAAGTTATTGCTACTACCTCCCTACAAGTCAAATCCTACCGCCAGGTTTTCCCCAAGTCCTTCAGCTCGCTTACCCGGCAAACATGTGTTAGTCCTAAGCAGCAAACCTGCTGGATGCCAACCACATCTGCCGGCGTACAACATTTTGGCGTCCCGATCGGCTATTGGGGCTTTGTCCCACTGATGGAGTATCTGATGTTTCACCCGTCAGTCTCGCCCATGTCACAGCACCGGAACACGGAGGGGTTGCTCACATGGGCCAGAACGCATGATACCTCGTGTTCCTCATGTCTTTGCGAACGTCGATCAGAAATGCCTCGAGCTCATCTGCTGTCCACGCTAAACCTCGTGTGAAAAGTGCCAGGCTGATGCCGGACAGCGAGGTGGTGAAGTTGTGATAAGTCCAGATACCTGCAGAAGTCGGCTTCGTGAGCATCTTCGGCTCCATCACATCCGGGCCAGATTGATGCAGGCTCACCGATCTTGGTCAGGGTGGACTCTTTCTTCCAAGGGTTCATTGGCCAAATGTAGGGTGTTTCCACCACGTCGACGAAGCCCGTCTCAATCATAATTCCCCTTACAGACTCAACACTGTCCAGGGGACACCCCAGCTGCTTACTCGCTTCGAGCATATAAGCTGCCCATCTGGCCAAGGCAGAATTCGCGGGAAGGGTTCCGTCCTCACACGTGAGATGGAATGATATATCTTGAACCTCAAGCATCGCTCCCGGGGCAAGGTTTCTGTGCGAACGATCAGCACCAACGACAAGTTTGAGCTTGGCTCTCGCCCTTACTCGTAGCATTGCCGAATGAACTGCCTCCAGTCTGCGATAGCACCTGTCATGAATCGGCTGAAGATGAAATCGAATTGGTAGCCGAAGACCCATGGTTGCCCGACGTCCATGATCTCGAACCGCACGTTGGGGGGAACGCTACTTGTCAAAATGAGCAAACGAAGACCGGGAGTCTGATTAGACTTACTACGTCGGTTGCACAGGGCTGACATCCACCCCGAGCACCTTTTCTCTGTCAAATGTCACTCACGTGGGTTCCATGGCGGCAGCGTCAACTCACCATGGCTTCCGGATGAAGGTCACCTTTGACACCATGTCAGTCGCCTTCTCTTCTCGGAACCGGGAGATGTATTCCCTTACCGTACTCGACGGACCAGATGCCCGTCCCAGTGCCGATATCTAGCACATGGTGCAGATCTCTTGTCTTTTCCACCCCACAGGTCGACAATTTGTTGTTAAAGGTCATCTTGAGCAGATGATGTTGGAGGTCTAGTCAGACCTACCGTTAGCGAACCCGTGATGGAGAGGGAACCAGGGCGAGATACTGTACCTAGACGATCTAGCTCTATCTGTCAAGACAATGATATCAGCACCGTGGTCTCCGACCTGTCAGGTGACAACGGGGCAAAACACCAATACCTCATCGTTGGGCAGGACATATGCTGAAGACGATTAGTTCCAGGTAAATACGTGCTTCAATGACGTACTTCGCTCGCCGTAGGCGTTGTATGTCCTCCCATGTTCTTGTATGTAGTCAAAGATACTTGAAGTCAAAGACGACGTGGACAGAAGATCATCTTCCTGAGTGGTATGTCAGCTTGCCATCTCTGTTTTGACATGGTTGAAGGTTCACATCTCCAAGTGCCGAGTCAGTGTCATCCGCGGCGCCTATGGGCGGGTCCTGGCAAGCGATATCAGTATTCGACCGGAGCCATGTAAACAGCAAAGGTGTGATCAACCCTACAGGATCAGGATCAGGCTCGGTGGGGGGATCATGATCTTCCATTGGGAGTGACATCAGCCACAGAGAACTCAGAGGACATTGATTGAGGAGGAATGATGGAGACTTCCATGAGAAGACGTATTTAGAGTCATTCTTGAAGGGACTTGCATTGTTTGCTTCGGGATATACTCTGCGTTTCTCTGCGAAGCGCAGATCCGAGTCTATCCAGTTCGTGTCGCGGTTGTGAACCCTTGTCTGCATGCTCCCTTTGCTCCCCGGAATACCTGGTGTAACGTGTGATGCATGGGGATTTGAAGACTCTCTGCTTCCGGCTGGCTGCGTTGTGTATCTCCCACCTCTTGCGGCGTGGCACATCACGGACAGCCTGATTTGATCTCACGCCATGTGGCCCAGTTGGTTACACAAGATGGCCTAGTGAAAGGATCAAGGTTCTATTGGTGTAAACATTGTTCTAGGGCTGCTGTCGATCAACGAGCATGATATTTCTGATTGAGTTTGATGGTCTCAACGGTTGGGGGAACTTGGGAGAGCTTCTGCTTCGAGTTGGATCCTGATACGCAAGGTTTTTTACCTTTGCTGACCATCCTTTTCAATTTGTAGCTAGTTTGCAAGGAGGATCTGTTCTAGGCTACAGCTGCCTGCGATAGTGTAGCTGCACCACACCCATTCCGGATGTGATATGACGTGTATCACAGACAACATCAATACCAATATTTGCCGGCGACTTATTGGAAGCGTAGGTGGGATGTTACGTAGGAGAAGGGTCACCTCGTGGCATGACCAAGACAATACCCGAGTTTTGTCTTCAGTCGTTGGTGTTCTAGGCCCATCAGCAGGAACTGTGGTCGGATTTGAATCGTGGCTTGAAGGTTGCAAACACGAGCAGCCGTTGCTGCTGTGGACCACTCGGGTAGAAGCAACATGGGAGATCCATGTCAGGATTTGTACGAGGTTGTGCGGTTTTGACTGGTTGGACATTCACTTTCTCGACGACGCGTGGGGGAGACTTGGCAGCTAAGAGACGCGTAGGCGGGAAGCGCCTCCATCCGACTAATTATTTATCTCGAGGACTCACCACTGGTGTACCCTCTCACCCAATGCACAGCTAGTCACTATAAGTCCACATCCTTGTATGAAAGCAGAAGGTCGCGTCCAACATGGACTTCTTCTCCTCTTTCAATTTCTCCATCATCGCCATGGTCGACACTCTGCAATATGCAAGACTGCGGCATTCCACGTCGACTCACCCAATGACATTCACACCTGTGACCAGCCCCATCTGCGGCCCTCCACGTTACCTCCTCCATCATCATAGTTCCCCGTCCGTAACCATGTCCTTTCTACCGTTATGCTCGTGACCTCTTCTCTGCGGTTTTATCTTCCGCCCTTGGGTCCTTCTCGCGTCGTCTTTTACAGTTTCCCTCCAGTCGATCGAATAATAAGACTGGCTGGGGATCACGGTATTCATGTCTCCGTAACTAAGAGCTAGCAGATCAGCCAAGGGTTACACTCAGAATGCATATTCAGCCAGCCTCCATCACAAGAGTAAGGTCCCGCAAGGAAGCGGCGCAAAGACGGTGAAACCATGCGCATACTCGCTTGAGTCTGCCAGTGACTCGTCCATCTCAACGATGCAAGGGAGTAATCATCCTTCCAATATCGCTAATGACTGAAAAACTCATCAGGTCAATCCAGTACAGAGATGGTCGGCTGGAAGATGAGGCCATTCTCGGAGTGGAAGCATGGACATGGACAAGCAGTTGTGACTTTATCTCCAGATGTCCTACCTGGTTCTGGACTGGGGGTCCCGTCAACACCAAGCAAAACATTGCTTACCACTCCGGCGAGCAGCCAAACCTCAAAAACAGGACTTCCCAAATATGTGTCTATGGATGGCTAACACCCACGAGAACTTTGACAACCTTGGAGGCAAGCACATGAGACATGAGGCGCCGCTACGCACCGTCCTGTTGACACAACCTTGAATGATGGAAGGACTTCAAGAGGCGGGTCGACGGCCAGATTCACATCAAGAAGGGCAATATACCGCATCTTGATCGGCAGGGGGACTTTGTAGCTCGCCACATTTACGTAGAAGTCCAAGAGTGCACATTTGAACATGCTGTGTAGGTAGAACTACAATTGCACTCGATACTTCTGAACGAAAGCAGTGTCCGCGCTGTCAACGTGCTAGCAGCCTCACATTGGTGACATCTCAGACTTGAAGAAGTTAGCGGATGGCTCGGTCGTGATCTGCTCTTGGCAGCCTCATTTGCCGCAAGCTTCCGGTCATGCTCAGCCTCGTGGGCTGGTAGGGACAGCAGGCATAATCGTGTACCGAACCTGCTTGGGAGCGGTGATGGCGTTGGTTGTCAACATGAAGACAATACATTATCGATTAGGTGTCGCTGGAGAAGTACAATTGCGGCGTATAACTGTAGTATCTGGTGCGTGGCAGCCGAGGCCGCAGATGATCTCGGCGGTGTCTTTCTGCCAGTGTCAGCAACACGCCGCGCATTCAACCCGCTTCATTCGCTTCTCATCCTCAGTCACACGCCTCGTTTATTCTTAGCATTGGGTTGTTTGCGTGTCCCCTGACCTGCTTCTGGTCCCATTCTTCTGCCTTGTATCACAATGTCTTCTCTTGCATAGCTACTGCGGAATTGTTAACCTCTGTACCTTCGAACCCTCTGAATCCTATACCCCTCGTCCGCCGCAATGGTCGGATATCGCGACAACGCAGATGATCCCGCATCCGAGACTCTACCTCTCTCGGATGAAGAGACAGCGCTTGGGGCCCGAAGCCCAGAGTTACACGTCCAGTCTACCCCGGATTCACCCTCATCGACTGCGCTCCCGATCCCTGTGTGGTTACGAGAATCGGCCAATTCCTTCAAGTACAAATGGGTGCCCCTACCTCTGCGAAAGGCGGGCAGGGCAATCGTAACATGGGTCAAGGGTCCGGTTCCTCCCCGAGTTCTCAAGATTGAGCCAATATACCCCAAGATTCAGCAAGCGCCTATTAGACTGTTGGATAGATATGCGCCGAAGAAAAAACACCGAGTCATCCTGCTCATGGCACTCTACGTTTGCTGGTTTCTTACGTGGTCGCTCATGCTCAAGAATCACTCTACATCTGGGTTCATCAAGGGATACGGCAAGCCGAGTAATCTGTGGTGCGGGGCCAGTTTCTGGAACGAAGGCAATGGATGCGGATTGAATGGGAACATGTGTCGGCCGTTCTCGTCGGCCCATTTGACCTTCCGCTGCCCTGCGAATTGCAAAGGCACTCATCTCCTGGAAGAACACATTGTTGGGAACCAGTCATTGCGGTATCAAGGGTTGGTCGTGGGCGGGCCGAGACCTGACGAACCCGACTCGATGCCTGTCTACCGAGCAGACAGTTTTATCTGCCAGGCCGCCATTCACGCGGGCATCGTGACCGAAGCCTCCGGCGGTTGCGGAGTGGCCACGCTCATCGGGTCTCACACAAACTTCCCATCCACCAAGGCTAATGGGATTGAGAGTACGAGCTTTCTAGGGACATTCCCGCGGTCATTCACCTTCCAGCGTCTCTCGGCCGCTCAAGCCACATGCCCCACGGATTCGCGATGGCCTCTTTTCGTGGTCACTGCTGTAGCGTTGGTTGTTCTGTCCATCTTCACCACCTCGCCCGCCGTTTTCTTCTTCAGCACCTTCGTGGTCATGTTTCTCCACGTCGGTCTCGTCTCGGACCCACCCAATACCGCGAACGTCTACGAAGCAATCAGTAAACTGGTGGAACGTCTCCTTCCCGCGTCGTTCATCGCTGTCATCCTCTATCGCGTCGCCGCGCTGCCACTGCTCCGCGACCTGACTGCCCAGATCGAGAAGACGGTGCTGTACTTGGGGTTCTGTTTCATTGGCGCGCTGAACAACTATACTTTCGCCCCCCTCATTCCCATAGAACGGCTGACACCACGCGACCTGGCACAACCCGGCGCCCCATTCGCCCTTGCCCTTATTGTCACCATCATCCTGGCCATTGTCATTTCGCAAATCCACTTCATCCGCATCTCGGGCAACATGCCCAAATACCTCGCCATCTATGGAGCCATGGCTCTGACGTTGATCATATTCCTCTTACTACCCAACCTGCGACTGAGGATCCATCATTACATCTTAGCGATGGTTTTTATGCCTGGAACATTCACTCAGACACGCGCCTGTCTAGCCTACCAGGGATTGTTGCTGGGCCTGTTCATCAACGGGATCGCGCGCTGGGGCTTTGCATCCATCATCCAAACACCCGCTGCACTGGGGGAAGCGAACGGGGGTGGCGGCAGCGGTTCGCCCGGGTCGTGGTGGGGCGCGAAATCACCCAATGTGACGGCCGTTGTGGCGCCAGACATCTCCAACATTACATTCAACTGGGGGCCACTGCCCAAAGATAGCGGGGTCGACGGCGTGAGCATCCTGATCAACGACGTCGAGCGCTGGCGCGGATACACGGACGAAGAACTGTACTGGGACCCCGAGGGCGTGACGTTGAAGAGACGGCACGAACGGGGCGACACGGACGATTCCCTGGAACCCGAGTTCTTCAGGTTCGCCTGGATGAGCGGCTCCGAGACGGGGCTCTACTCGCGCGTCGGACTGTGGGATGAACACGGACAATGGCACGGGCCGGAAGAAGGGACCACCAAGAATATGGGGGTCGGGGACGAGGAGGACGACGAGGTGAGGAACTACGGAGGACCGTTTGACTTTGTCGACGAGGCTGAGGAGCAAAGATTGCACGAGGTTGCGGAGCAGCAGCAACAGCAGCAGGAGTTGTAGCTCACGCCCACCGTGCCTCTTGCTTACTGTACAATGTGAGTTTTACGCGAGTATCTGTCGGAAATTGGACATTGGAAAGTGGAACTGGATATGGATACACATATATACCCCGCGAAAGAAAAGCAACACAAATACATGCACGCACGAATGAAGCCGGTACAGTACTCTATATACTGAGGCGAGGAGGAGGAGAGAAGACAAGGCAGGAGATGAACATCAAATACCAGCCAAGCCGAGCTGTGAGCTGTGAATGGATGAATGAATGTATGTAGTTATGTAGATATGATTGATACAGATGTCTGCCTAGCACCCCCACATGCCTGCCTTGGTACTTGGGTTCTCACATGGGTATTCAGAGGTATACAGAGGTACAGGGATACAAACACTTGTTATGATTATGATCATGATACGCTGCTATGTTG